ACTTCAATCTGGAAACGCTATCTGATACAGTCGTGCAACCTCGCGTCCATTACCCGGTGGTATGTAAAAATCATTCAATATAGTCTTTCCACTTCATGTCAGCAGAGAACATGAGCCCAAGAAGTCACAATGAGTCATTTTCCTGGAGGATAGCATCAGCCATACTGATGTAAGACAGAAAGGTGTCTCACAGATAATTAATGGAGAGAAGTTTAGTTTTAAAGGCGTTAAAATTAACAAGCCAACTTTTAACTCCAGTTAACTACGGATTATTACTCCCCAGATGTACAATTCATTCTCTGGTGGTGGTGGGGGGGGAATCAAACCACAATTTAAAAATCTAAACGCCAAAGAGCTCATGAGAAACATTATCAGGAAAGTATTTATAGAAAAGAGATAAAGAGGCAACCTTACCGCATTGGCAAAGTGGCTGAATCTGAGCAGAAAGATCAGGACCAATAATATTGTTAAGTCAACGTGAGCCCTGAGTTCTTTGCATCTTAACAAAGAGTTCAGTGTAAATAGCAGGGCTACCGGACCAGATGTGTCAGCGATATTGTAAATATGGAGAAATGGTAGACTTATAGATATGTAAGATAGATTCTGGAGAGAAATATTGTCTCACCACATATGGAATCGATTTTCTCAGCAACTGACCTAGCAATGGATTCAATATAGTCTTTGCATATTATATATATATATATATATATATATATATATATATATATATATATATATATATATGCCCACTGACATGAGGTCGAATAAATACATTGAATCAATAGCTTCATCTAACGCAAGGAAAGTTGACTCTTGTCGTGCCAGAAAGTTTTTCAACCTTCCGTTCTTGCATGGAATATTGCTGTCATATATGGACTGATGCTCCTGGTCCTCGACATAATTCAGAGACGAATATGCAAGATGATAGGTCCTGATATGGCATCTAGTCTACAATCGCTATCCCACAGACGTGCCGTGGACTCCCGACGGGCTACTTTCGCTGGTTCCAGGACAACATGAATTTAAACGAGCTACCAGGCTGGCATTTCGGTCCCACCCTATGACTGTCAAAACGGTTAAATGTAATATATATATATATATATATATATATATATATATATATATATATGATTGGAACAGGTGCAAATTCCACTCTTATATTTCAAAGACCTATTATATTAAGAACTTTAACTAGTACTTCATAATTGCAGGTTATTCTATTGTAAATACGTTTATTTATCTAATTTACTGTCTTTACTTTTAGAGTTTAGTTAAATTTAAGCTAAATGCGTGGCCTCTCCGAGTTCGAAAAAGGGCAAATTGTTGGAGCTCGCCTGCCAGGAGCCTCGATTACTAAGGTTGCTGAACTGTTTGGTTTTTCAAGAACTACCATATCAAGAACACTGATGAAATTCGAGAAACAGGGCAAGATCTCTAGCAACCGTAGCAATTCGGGCCGGACCTGCAAACTTACTGACAGGGACCGACGTGCATTGAAACTTAATGTGGCAAAAAATCATCGGACTACTGCGACCAAAGTGACTGCTGAGTTGAATAATCATCTGAATAGTCCAGTTTCTACTAAAATTGTTCGTCGTGAGCTCCCATAAGGCTGCATATCATGGAAGAGCCGCCACTGGCAACATTGACTGCATCTTCCAAGATGATAATGCTCCAATACATACCACTCGATTGGTTCAGAATTGGTATGAAGAGCATGAAAGTGAGCTAGAACACATAGAGTGGCCTCCCCAATCTCCTGATATCATAATTTTGGAGCGACAAATTAGGAGCCGCTATCCTCCACCGCCGTGTATTAAAGATCTGGACCAGGTGTTAATGGAAGAATGGCTGAAAATTCCTCTGGATGAAGTCAGGAGGCTGTATGATTCCATTCCTAGACTAAAGCTGAATTTTCTTATTTTTAATTACAATTTTCAGTACCTGATTTTCTTACCTAAATAAAATGTTCTTCAGTTCCTATTAATGTTAATTCGAAGTACAAAGTTTCAAGTGCCTGAATATAAAATATTTCAAATAAAGATTTATATTTAATATTTTTTTTGATATTTTCAAAATCGGGTATGATATACCCATGGTTAGTAGTGGTGTAACTTTAATTGATGGTTAGTGTTCTAGGGTTAAGCTGTGTAATTTGATATAATAATAATAATTTGATATAATTTGAAGTGTAATATATATATATATATATATATATATATATATATATATATATATATATATTGCACATTTATATATCAACGATTCGTCCGGGCATCGAATAGTGTTGCCATATCTGATCTAATGCATCTCGGGTTTCATGACATAGAAGGGTCTGTAATGTAATCAATCTTAACCAGGCATCTTGCCTTCAGTCACTTTCTCACCGACGTGACATAACCTGCCTCTGTCTTTTCTATAAATATTTTCATGGAAATTTCTCTGGCGAGCTTTTTTACTTGGTTTCCCGACTACATGACTTTAAGCCTACTGCTGGATTGGCGTCTAGGTCCCACCCTTTTACTGTTGAAATAGATAAATGCAACCGCTTCTTTTACTCCAACAATTTATTTTCTCCACTTGCCGTCTGTGGAACACGCTTACGTCCACACGATTCTCGGATAACTACAATCTTCAAAAACGTAAATGCAGCGTCAATCGCCATATTTTATCTCCTTGAATCCTGTTCATCTTTTATCCTTTCCTCAATTCTCTTACTTTAGCTCCCTGTAAACCCCTGCTATTGGCACTCCCGCCTTGAATGGAGTGAAATGATTAAAAAAAATGAAAAGAAAAAATTACCGTAATTCCCCAATGTGTCGTGCCTGAAAATCTTACTCGTTACGGCCCATCTGCCACATTTACAAATCTGTTATTCGCCCGTGCATTGAATAATGTTGTCATATCCGATCGAGTGGTCCTGATGTACATCTCGAGCTTCATGTCGTCCTGGGGAAGACGTTAAACTATATCCGGGTCCTGGTTAAGACGTTAAACTACGTCCAGCAGCAAGGCCTCTGATCAGGAGGTTTTGAGGAGCATGGAACCACCTCTTAATTGCTAGTGTACCTAGGTCCGCCCTTAGCCGGAGTGGTAGCACCTGTTACGGTCCCAGCTATGGGCAAATAGTTAACTATTGCCAGCAATACCTTTTTGAAAAAAATATTACCAGCAATACAATTTTGAATGAAATATATTACCAGAAACAGATTTTTGACAAAACGAAATGTTACCAGCAATAAAAAAATGTTGCCGGCATTAAATAACCCATTCAGGTTGATATGCCGTAAAACAAAATAAACCAAACCAATCTAAGCCAAAGAATACATATTCTATTCATACGAATCTATCCTAAAAATGTAGTCGGCATTAAATAACCCATTCAGGTTGATATGCCGTAAAACAAAATAAACCAAACCAATCTAAACCAAAGAATACATATTCTATTCATACGAATATATCCTAAAAACGTTGTCGGCATTAAATAACCCATTGAGGTTGATATACCATTAAACAAAATAAACCAAACCAAACCAATCGAGCTTCATGACATAGAAGGATCTGTAATATAATTGATCTTAACCAAGCATTTTGCCTTCGATCACTTTCTCATCGATGTGACATGACTTCCTTCTGTCTTTTCTATAAATATTTTCATGGAAACTACTCTGGCGAGCTTTTTTTCTCTGGTACCTCGACTGCATGAATTTAAGTATGCTTTTATATATATATATATATATATATATATATATATATATATATATATATATATATAGGAATCTCTTGATTAATGTGGCAAATTTTACATCGGTAACTATAAAATCCATTTTCAATTACTGTGGTTAAACTGAAGAATGTTCTAACACACTAATCGAGTATTATGTATGCACAAATCGAATTTAAAATTTGGTATATAAAAATTGTAGCACACTAATCGAAAACGCATTAATCGAATATATATATATATATATATATATAAGCGTACGGATGAAAACACAAAGACATATTTTTCAGTGTTGTTTTGCTGATTCTTTTTTCCTGGTTTTACAAGCATTTTGAAGATTCCATTTAGCCAAACAGTTTGCTGAATAACTACATTGTAATATGGAATTAATTTTGGGTCATTTTAACCAAGTGGAATTTTTCAGAATTTTATACTTTCGCCATCATCCATTTCACAAAAACAGTTTTTGTCATCTTTTTTTTATCAATTTTGTTCTAAAGTTTCTCTAATTTTCCTTTTCTTTTCTTTCTTTTTTACTTTCTTTCTTTTTTCTTTCTTTTCTTTCTTTTTTACTTTATTTCCTTATTTCTTTCTTTTCTTTCCTTCTTTCTTTTTTACTTTCTTTCTTTTTTCTTTCTTTTCTTTCTTTTTTACTTTATTTCCTTATTTCTTTCTTTTCTTTCCTTCTTTCTTTTTTACTTTCTTTCTTTTTACTTTATTTATTTCTTTATTTCTTTCTTTTCTTTCTTTCTTTTTTACTTTATTTATTTTTTCTTTCTTATTACTTTATTTATTTTTTCTTTCTTTCTTTCTTTTTACTTTATTTATTTTTCTTCCTTTCTTTCTTTTCTTTCTTTTTACTGTATTTATTTATTTTTTCTTTTCTTTCTTTCTTGCTTTATTTCTTTCTTTTTTCTTTCTTTTTTTTACTTTATTTCTTTCTTTCTTTTTTACTTTCTCCCTTTATTTCTTTTCTATCTTTCTTTCTTTTTCCCTTTGTTTTGGTTTTGTTATTGATGATTGTTTACTTGCCTCACTTTCTCCCTTGACGTAATTTTCGCTTCTTTGTTTATAGCAAAGTGCGTCCACTGGAGTGTGCTAAATCGTTTGCAGCTGTTATTGAAGGAATCGGCCTTGCCGTACAAGCACGCGTACCTATTTGCATCGACATAAGCGGACGCGCACGAACAGACACAAAACCAAAAAGAAACGAAAACTGACACTAAAATAAAGCAATACACCAATGTACACATAATTAAGTCTAACCAAATTAAACTCAGATAGATAGATAGATAGATAGATAGATAGATAGATAATGAACAGACTGAGATAGATAGATAGATAGATAGATAGATAGATATAGATAATGAAAACTGAGATAGATAGATAGATAGATAGATAGATAGATATATACCAGAATAAACTCCCCATAGATAGATAGATAGATAGATAGATAGATAGATAGATAGATAGATACTGAAATAAACTCCCCCGTAGATAGATAGATAGATAGATAGATAGATAGATAGATAGATAGATAGATACCAAAATAAACTCTCCCATAGATAGATAGATAGATAATGAGCAGACTGAGATAGATAGATAGATAGATAGATAATGAACAGACTGAAATAGATAGATAGATAGATAGATAGATAGATAGATAGATAGATAGATAGATCTTCTTTTTTTTTTTTTTTTTTTTTTTTTTTGCTTACATCTAATTACATACCTCTCTTCTCTATACTCTGTAGCTGGAATCCACATGTCGATTTCCGCCTTCTTCCAGAACATTTCATCCTCAGTGTTCGGCTTATTTTGTTTTTGCCTTAGCTTCATCTGATTCATGTGTCCTAGACTGCAACGAGAATCCTTTCCGTTTCTCGTTATTATTATTATTATTATTATTATTATTTTCAGTTTACCTGAGTTTCTGTCTGATACAGTGATCTACCATTTCTTTTTTTTTTTTTAACCGAGACTAAAGGAAAAGAAAGATTTTTTCCCTGTATATGTGAGCACAGTCATTTGGTTCTGTGTTCCTACGTTTTTCATTATATGTGTATCGGTATTGTTTTTAGTTATACCAAGTGTTCATATTATTAGCGGAACAATGGTTACGTTTAAATGCTACCTTCCTGTACTTTCTATTTCCAGGTCCTTATATTTTAAATCTTTGTCGAATTCTTTTTCTAAGACCAGACGTGATGTTCGCGCCTATGAGATCGCGGTGAGGTTTTTTATTATGATATCTGGTCTGTTAGTTAATATACTTCGGACAGAAATTATGGTAAAGTTCCAGAGAGCTGTAGCATTTCCCCCTTTTAGTAATGCTTTGTGTTTCTACCATTTTTCTGTTTGCGGACGTTTATAATGTTGTCATATCTTTCAAATCCGTTATTTCTTTATTCTTTTATGTCTTCCTCACGGATTAGGCTACAGAACCCAGACATGAAATGCTCAATAGTTCCTTCAGCGCTTGTACAAAATTGACATTTGCTGTCTTACGTATACATTAAGATATGTCCCTGTTAGGACCTTATTGGCAGATTTTGATCTTGGGCAATTAAGATGAATCCATCTGTTTGGGGTTTCAAACCAAAGATCGGCAAAGACTTGCGAGGCAGTTTTTTGTCCACGAGAGAGAAGTGAGCAGAAGCGTATTATCAAGCATAAAAGCTAGATAGATAGATAGATGCATACATACATACATCATCATCATCTTGCGGCCTCGGCTGAGATTGAACTCACTAATACTTTGATTGGTGTAGTTCATAATCTTGTCAATAGCTGAATTCTTGATGCTTCGCTAGGGCTATCAAGGGTGTTTTTATGGTGACACCAACACTAAATGGATTGCCAACCAAGGCTCAGAGAGACTCCATTCACCCTCCTCTAAGAGCAGGTTTGAATTCAGAGTTTTCCTTCTCCTAGACCAGTTGCCATCCAAGGCTATAGAACCCAGTCTGTCCTGCTATTTACCCATAGCTGGAGGGAGAAAAAAGAGGATTCACACCTTTCCCAAGGGTGTTAGCACGTAAGTGAATGTAATGGATTCCTCAATCCAAGCCGCTATCCATTACTCCGCCGTGCCTACATACATACATACATCGATGGATAATAGACAGACTGAGATAGATAGATAGATAGATAGATAGATAGATAATGAACAGACTGAGATAGATAGATAGATAGATAGATAGATAGATAGATAGATAGATAATGAACAGACTGAGATAGATAGATAGATAGATAGATAGATAGATAGATAGATAGATAGATAGATAATGAACAGACTGAGATAGATAGATAGATAGATAGATAGATAGATAGATAATGAACAGACTGAGATAGATAGATAGATAGATAGATAGATAGATAGATAGATAGATAGATAGATAGATAATGAACAGACTGAGATAGATAGATAGATAGATAGATAGATAGATAGATAGATAGATAGATAGATTCAAAATTAATCTCCTCAATCAATAAATCGAAAACGGACAAACTAATGTAGATAATGAACAGATATCGATAGATAGATAGATAGATAGACAAAAGAAAGAAAGAAAGAAAGAAAGAAAGAAAGAAAGAATTGACGAATGTGCCTGCAGTGGGTATCAACTATTTGTGTGTGTGTTTTTTGTTTTTTGTTGTTTTTTTTTTTTTAATTTGATTTTCTGGTTAGGTAATTTTTTTTATTATTTTTTCATTGATTTATTTTTTGTTATTCATCGAATGATGTTTTAAATCCTATTCTAACTTATTTGTATGGTTGGAATTCATCGTTGTGGATGCACGCTTGGTGTAATGAATAAGATGAATTTCTCTTTCTGGTTTCAACCCAGAGCTTCGTAATCAGACTTTTGTCAATGTCAGGGTTTTGTAATAAAAATATCTGGCAAGTCTTCTAAAAAAGAGATAAAACAAAATGAATACAAAACGATCAGCTTTAAAAAAGGACTCGTAACTGGAAAAAGCGAATGAAAAAAGAATGTTAACAACAAATACTTTTTCACACCCAACCCAGTTCTGCGGAATCAGAATCAACGTTTAAGCAAGCGAATGAGCCAATTGGAGTAAAGTGCCATGCAGATTTAAATTTTTCCCACTTGTGACGAATGCAGCTATCGATTTTTTTTGCATGCTAGCATGCTAGTTAACATTCGTGTCAGTCAGCTGTTGGCTCTCACGCTGACCAATAGAATCTTCCTGACAATTCATGGCAGCCAGCTATAGGCTCTCACTCTGGCAAACTACATGAAAACTGCCGTAGGGGCATGAAAAAATCGATTATTTCCACTATCGATGGGAGTTAGGAAATGCATAACCGGTCTTGGCCTTACCGCTAACTTGGAACATGTGCATGTAAATTTTGGTGCAAATCCGTCGAAAATTGCGGCCGTGCATTCCTTACACACACACACACACACACACACATCCTGCCTTTTATAGATAGAGATACACTCATTTGTTAAGACTGTAGTGATCGGGGAAGTATTTTCTTGAGAGCTGATTACACAAAGCAGTGTTTGTTTTTTTGTTTTTTGGGGTTTTTTTGTCAAGAAACTGCTCCAGTGAAACTTAATCTCACCAACTGAATACAAAAGTAATTTGTGTGGTTCGTTCAAATGTAGTCGGAATGACCGGTCTTAGCTGTGAAGGTTAGACGATTTCTAAGCTGGGACAATTCCCTACCTCCTTTTGCCCTAAGCAAGTACATCTACTTTGAAATAAGGATATTCCTGGTTCTTCTATCTCTGTTTGGTATCTCTTCTAGTTTCTAGTTTCTCACACAGAAAAAAAATGTAATAACAGGAATTGTGCAGCATATGTTGAAATACCTTTTTAATACTCAGAATCCTCCATCATCCACCAAAATTTCCAATAGCCCACCATTTTCTTTTCAGTTTTTCATCGTCCAACCAACAGTTGAAATCGCCCACCCAACAGATGAAATCGATCTCCGGTGGGCGATATCGCCCCGGTTGGGAAACCCTGGAATAAAACATCAACGAACATCAAAGGAATTTGGCACAGGAATTCTGGGGAAAAAAACGTCTTGAAAAAAAAAAAAAAAAGGAATTTTACGCATAATTCTTAAAAAGGATCATTCTCTCAAAATTTGAGACGAAAATTTATCCCCCATCAGGTAATGCGAGATACGACCTTCAGCATCAAAATGCGACACGATCCCGCACTTTGCCAGATGGTTGCTAACCATGCTTTAGGATCCGTAGATGTATTAGGATGGCCAAGGACACATTCCAAAAACTGGACAGAGTATTGCGAGACAGGAGGATTTCTTTGGTAAACAAAGAAAAGAATACTGAGCTGTTACGTGACATCTGTCCTTCTTTACGTCAGCGAATGTTGGACAGGATATCTTCAAAGATGAAGAAAAAACTCGAGGCGACGGAGATGTGGTTCTACAGAAGGATGCTAAGAATACCATGGACCCAGCGGGTGAGCTATGATAAGGTCTTAGCGTGGTTGCAAACAAGGAGAAGTCATATACTTAACATCAGGAAAAGATTGCTAAAGTTTCTGGGACACATAATGAGGAAGCGGGGCTTGGAGAATCTGATACTCACGGGTCGAATAGAGTGAAAGCGAGACAAGGGAAATCAGCGCACGCGTAACATACCTTGAACAGGTGGATGACAAAACATGGTCTGGGGGAGGAAGCAGTGGGAAGGAACTTGTTGAGAGTTGCAAAGGATAGAGAGATGTGGAGAGCCATGATCGCCTACGTCCTGAAAGGAAATGACACAGAAAAAGAAAAAGAAGCGTGATTAGAAAACGATTATCACCAATACCGTCGTTAAAGCATTATTTTACTTGCTCGTTGAACTGCCGCTGATTCTAAACACGCAAAATATTTTTTGATAGTAAGTTTTAAATCAAACTGAATATCGTATAAGGTCCCTTCCAGACGAGTTAAAATGAAGCCATCATCGGGAACAAGCAATATGAAATGGGGGCTGGAACAACGAAAATGACAAACACTAAACAGGAACTCTCAGACGCAAAAATAGTCTTCTAAAAATAAACAATTAATACCACAATTTAAGTCAGTGAATCGTTTAGGCTTTACAAAAAGCCTTTTTTTTTTGTAATTTCAGTGGAATAAAATTAATAGAAAACGGGAAAAAAAATAAATCAGCAAATTTAATAGGAGAGTATTTACAAAATTAAAGATAAATGGGAGATAACCGATTTGACTTCCGGAAAACTGGATGACCATTGAATTAACGAATGGAAAAGATAAAAGGGAGGTAACCGCGGTGACTTCCGGACAACTAGGATAATATTGAATTAAAGAATAAAAAAAAGAACAAGAAGGATAAACGCGCTGACTTCCGGTAAAGAGCTCGTATATTAAATTAAATTTGGTTCTAATTGAATTCATTCAGTTATTTTATATTTATTGTTTTGTGTATGATTTATATTTGATATTTATTTATTTATTCATTTATTTATTGTTATACTTGATATATTTATTTCTATGTAATTAAATGAACAACAGTAATTTCCAAATTAAAAAAAATGATTTGTTTATTTATTAAACATAACATAAAGAAGTTTAATTTTAAAATATATATCATCGAATATGGCTGCGGGTTGGTTAGTCTCTATGTTAGAGTGTAGGTGATTCAGTCATCCAGGCTTTTTTATATAAAAATTCCGAAATTCCGTATTCCAAGTAATTCTAAAATAAAAATGAAATAGTGGGAATTCTTGTTAAATAAATCATTTGTATTTACAAACATATGTATATAAATTCAACATTTAAAAAGGGATAAAAAAAAAATACTTCACATTTGAGTTTGCCAAAAGACGTTGCGAGGTGGGGCTCCTTAAGCCTTAAAAAAGGCTTTCATTTGCCTCCCTAGCCTCGTTTGACGCTTTTCCACAGATAAAGTTATACGCACGAAAATTGCGAAATGGCGACTACTTGATGCAAAAAAATTCACAAATCTTTTGCGCAAATGTATCACGCTTTTTTTTAAAAATAAAACCTAACATATTTTATTTCATTTTTACTTTAATTTTAGAATCTTAAAGTATCGTTCTATAGTTTTTGTATATAATTACAGGGAAGCTATATGTTAAAACTACAGCTGGATTATCAAAGCACAAACAACGCTGCCTGCATACATATTTCTCGAAGTGAAAAATTGTAAAATGGTGAAAACTTGATGCAAAGAAAACACAAACTCTTTTGCGCGAATGCATCACGCTGTTTCTTTTACATTAAATTTAAGACCCTAGCGTATTTTATTTTTATAATCTAAGAGTTTTAAAATAACGCTTTATAGCTTTCGTATATAATTACAGCGAAGATATATATAAAAATACCCTATAAGACAATTGTTCTTCTTTTTTACCCGTTTCGGGTACGCGTTCGTTCACCATTTTCTCGCTGTTTATGGGTTAAAAAGACACTAGTTACAGTTTCCTATTGAAAGCAACTATCTTTGCGCTTTTATATATATATATATATATATATATATATATATATATATATATATATATATATATATATATATATATATATGCACATGTATAGTATAATATAATATAATATAATATAAGTAAAAGGTTTGTCAGCATCCTGTCTCCAAAGTTTCGTAGATAGACCATTCCGTCCACTCGTCAGGGGCTATCAGCAATTGACTGCTTATACTTCTCGATTTTTCTTTTTTATATGCATTTATCATTGATGCAAGTTTTTTTTTACAGTATGCCTGTGCGTGTGTGTGTGCATGTGTGTGTGCGTTCACTCCTGTCTGCGTGGATGTGCGTACGTGTAGGGTGTCGTGATTATTTGTCCTTTACGTTTGTTAGGTTGTGTGTGTGTGTGTATATATATATATATATATATATATATATACATATATATATACACACACACACATATATATATATATATATACACACACACACACACACACATATAGTAAGGTAATGAAGGGTTTGGTAATCCGTGTGGATAATTCCAAAGAGGATGTAATCAACAGGGCTCAATGTAACAACAGAGTAAATTATATATATATATATATATATATATATATATATATATATATTGTGTATTTACGCAGCAAACTTTCTTTTCATGCAAGTTTCATTAAATATGACGGACAAGGTGCTTTGGTTAAGTTTTTTATATAATTTTTCATGTGATTTTATAATTTTTTTCTTTCACTAAATATTAATAAAAATTAAAGAAAACAACACTCAATAATATCAACTATGAACATGGACGCAATATGTTGACAGTGTTTTGAAAATGAAACATAATATAAATACATACATACAACAGCTATTTACAGTTTACGGTTAATATATTTCATCCTTGAAATTGGGTAAATGTATAGCCGAAACCCCTGAAAAATATAACATTTGAAATTTTTTTATATAATCTATCTACTGAAAAGGAAAAACCGTTGTTGGATTATCCGAAAATAATTTTCTATATTAATAGGTTAAGCTATGCATGTGCCCGCGCCGAGTCAGATTCTAATAGACATAGGCTCCTCACCCCTAAGTTTGAAGTTAAAAATGTGACAAATTTTCTAGTCGTAAAGTTGATAGGTCTTCCATTGGATCTTTGGGACTGCAGCAATTCAGTTGGAATGTGGCTAAGAAACCATAAAACAGCCGATGGCGCTGAAGTTAAAATATCGTACGTGTGAACAGAAATATATGAACAATCGAAATTCTTCTCTTTTAATCCTCCGAGAGAAATTTATTCATCTTTCTGTTCCTAGCGACTCGTTGCGCCTAACGTTTTTTACTGACATGAAGTGGACAGACTATATGCAATGTAATCTGGCATCCCGTCTATAGTCACTATCTCACAGACGAGCTGTGGCTTCCTTCTGTCTTTTCTACAAGTACTTCTGTGGCAACTTCTCTCGACGAGCTACTTCCGTTGGTTCCCAAACGGCATGAATTTAAGCGTGCTACTAGGTTGGCGTCTCGCTCCAGCCCTTTCACTATCGAAACAACAAAATGTAGCCATTTCTTCTACTCCAACAGCTTCTTTTCTCCCACCTCCGGTCAGTTGAAATTCCTTCCTATCACTTGCTTCCCTGAAATATTCAAATGTAATGTCAATCGACATCTTCTGATGCCTTGGATCCCCGCCCTTCTCTTTATCTTTTTCCCAAACACTCCACTTTATTCTTACTCTCTGTAACCCCTTTGGTGCTTGTGGCACTCTCGCCTTGCTTGGGGCTATTTGCTTAAAAAAAAAAAATATTGAACCAATTGCTAGCCCAGATTCTTGGAAAATTGGTTCACTGTGACATACTAGACATTTTTTTTCACGCCATCATCTATCTTACAGAATTGTAAGTCATATTATATCTGATCTGGTGCTTCGGCTATGTATTTCGAAGTTCTTGATAAAATACAAAGTATACTCAATGTTATTAGTCTTGACATGGCATCTCGGCTTCAGTCAATCTTCCACCACCGTAAGGTAGCTTCTCTGGCCCTTTTCTATAAATACTTTCATAGCAATTGTTCTGACGAGCTTTTCATCTATGGTTCCTGGATTTTGTGAATTTAAGCGCAGTACCAGATTGGCGGTAAGGTCTCATCATCTTACAGTTGAAATGACTAGAAGTAACCATAAGTTTTATTCTCACAGTTTATTCTATCGCACTTCTTGCTTGTGGAAATCCGACTTCCGATTTCTTTCTTCCCAGTCAACTTTGATCTTCGATAAATCTTTGATTTAAATGCATTGTCAATCGTTATCTTCTGTCGTCTTAATTCATTTTCTTTCACCGTTCCCTCTCCTTAATAATGTCTTTCTTTTTCTCATACTTTCTCACACTCAGTAAACCCCTTGTGTCTTAGTGGCTTTATTGCTTTGCTTGGGGCGAAGTGATTTTAAAATATAACATCCAATTGTTTATTCTTTAATATTTTAATTTGAATTATCAGAGAAATATCGAAATATCACAATACAGTTTTCCATCTTGTTCATTTTCCCATAAATAAATATATAAAGTACAGTGTATGTTTGTGCGTGTGTATGTCCAAACAACTCCTCCGCTCATACTGATCCGATTTCAGTGATTCATAGCTCATTCAAAAACCCTAGAAAATTTAGGCACAGGGAACAATTTTCCTTGAGCTCAGATTCAGGGTTGCCAGATTATGTGAGGTTATATATATATATATATATATATATATATATATATTATACTAGGCATTATATTTGCTTTCATGGTTCAAGAGGAGTAACCCTTATTTTCCTATTGGGCGGCATTTAAGCTAGCTCTTGTGAAGGATTCTTGATTTAGCCATCCTCACAACAGCTAGGGAGGAGTAGATGCGATAAGCATCAATAAACTACAGAAGAACTCAAAATTGATCGCTGCATTTAAATATTGAATTAATGTTTAAGTTTACATTTTAAAAGTTCAACGATAATTCTGGCACTTAATTTAAAGACGATTTGATGTAGTGATTTTCCAAGCGTAGCTTAGATGTGGCACAAGGCCGAAAGTAGGGGGCACCCAGTGAGGATTGAACTCACTACTCAGTCGTAATTGTTCTAGTGAGACAAGCTTGCTAACTATTACACCGCCTAGAAGTGCCCAAGGCGATTTGATGTACGTAGATCCTTATTTTCCGTACAAACAATTATTTTTTATTTCATTGCTAACAAAAAAAGGGCCAATCTGTATGATAAAATTAATATAGTGTAAAGATGAGAAAATAGAAATTAAATTAGTTATACATTTAACATCTGAAGAGTTAGCGAAACATAATAGCTAATTAAGTAAAACCTATATTACGGAATATAATATATTTTTCCATATTTAGTTTAGGATGTATTTTTCCATTATTCTTGGACGGATCTCAGCAAGTTTGTGATTGGGTACTTAATAAGAAGGATGCCAGGGTGGACAAGAAAAGTCGAGAAATGGCGATCAGTGGACACGGATTGAGATGTGTACGGTTGAGCCCCACTATTGCATGAGCGAAGCGAGTGCACTTGCAGGAGCAAAGTGACTGCATTAGCGAGAATGCGTACGACTGGCTAATAAATAATGTAAAATAATAATATAGTCATAATATTTTCATTTGAATTATCTAATACGAATATTTTTTTTTTCATTTCAGCTCAGGAATATATCATCAGGATCATTCCACTTATGATAAGTAAGTAGTTTGTTTTTGTCAATATTAACAAAAAAATCAGTTAAAAAGGATTTGTTTGGTTTAACGTCATATCAACTCCTTATGGATCATTTAATGTCGAAATTTTATTTTTTGTGAGCTTTGTTTATTTTTTCAAAAAGTTTATCGTCCTGGGAAGGACGTTAAACCACATCTACGTCCTGGGTAAGACGATAAACTACATCCAGCAGCAAGGCCTCTGATCAGAAGGTTTTGAGTAGCGTGGAACCAGCTCTTAATCGCTGGTGTTTCCAAGTCCACCCTGACCCAGGGTGGTAGCACCTGTCAGGGTCCCAACTATGGGAAAATAGTTAACTATTACCAGCAATACATTTTTGAAAAAAATTATTACCAGTAATATAATATTGAAGGAAAAATAATACCAGAAACAAAAACAAAATATTACCAGCAATAAAAAATGTTGTCGGCATTAAATAACCCATTGAGGTTGATATACCGTAAAAGAAAATAAATCAAAAAATTAATTGCTATTTTTACAATGAAAGTGAAACGGGTAATTTTTTTTTTTTTTTTTTTTTTTTTTTTTTGCTATAAAAATGTATACTGGTAATTTTTTCATATATATTTATATATTTTCATGTTTTGAACCCAGTTTGGGTGTTCACTATTTTTCCATAGCTGGGACCCTAACAGGTAATTCTGGGTCAGAATGGACCAGGGAAGAACATCAATTAAGATTTGGTTCTACACTCCTCAAAACCTCCCAATCAGAAACCTTGATGCAGGATGTACTTTGTTGTCATACCCAGGACAAAAATTATAAAGTCAGTGATCTAGTAATTTTGCCTCTTTTTATGCGGTGGTCGTTGAGTTTTCATGCCAGAAGTAAGTCGTGATTTTAGTGGAGATCTAGTGACAAAAGTATCCAGTTGTACAGGTCACTTCTTAATAGTCAAGTTGATCACAGCAAACCCTCAGGATATTGACGCTGGCAGCTGCCACTGGAATAGGGTATGATGCTTTCCAAAAGCTAAACAAAGTATTAAGAAACATTAAAACAAAACTTCGTAGGAAAAAAAGAAAAGAGTGTTGAAACGCCATGTTATACCATTCCTCCTATATGGCAGTGAATGCTGGAAAATTTGAAGAAGCGACTTGAGGCAACAGAAATGTCGTTCTGCAGAAGAATTCTGAGTATACAATGGACTGAACATGTGAATAACGAGGAATTTATGAGGAAAATATAAACAAAACAGTTTATTCTTAAAATTAGAAAGAGATAGATGACATTTCTCGGACCCGTGAAGAGGAAAGAGGGTTTGGAGAATTGGACACTCACAGGGCGCATTGAAGTCAACAAGGACAGAGGGTAGCAGCGAGTAAGCTACCTTACAAATATGGCAAAACAGGAACTGAGTAGCTGGGGAAGAGACATGGACTATAGAAGAAGAAGAAGAAAGTAAAAGGAGGAGGCGGAGAAAAAGTAAAAGAAGGAGGAGGAGGACAAGAAGGAGGAAGAGGGGGAGAAAAAGAAGAAAAACGAGGAGGTGAAGAAGAAGAAGAAGAAGAAGAAGAAGAAGAAGAAGAAGAAGAAGAAAGTGAAGAAGTAAAAGAAGGAGGAGGAGAAGTAAAAGAAGAAGGAGGAGGACAAGAAGGAGGAGTAGGGGAGAAAAAGAAGAAGAAAGAGAAGGAGGAGAAAAAAAGGAGGAGAAAGAGAAAAAAAGGAGAAGTAAAAGAAGGAGGAGGAGGAGGAGGTGAAAAAGTAAAAGAAGAAGAAGTAGGACGAGAGGGAGGAGGAGGAGAAGAAGAAAAAGAAGAAGGAGAACGTGAGAAACGAGGAGAAAAAGAAGTAAAAAAAGAAGAACGAGAAGAAGGAGTAGAAGAAGGAGGAGAAGAAAAGGAAGAAGGCGGTAGAGAAGAAGGAGGAGGAGGAGAAAAGGAAGAAGGTGGAAGAGAAGAGGGGGGAGGAGGAGAAGAAAAAGTAGAAGAAAAAAGAAGTAAAAGAAATAGGAGAAGAAGAAGCAGAAGAAGAAGAAGTAAAGGAGGAGGAGGAGGACGAGTATAAGAAGGAGGAGGAAGTGAAAAGGAAGAAGGTGGAGGAGAAGGAGGAGGAGGAGGAGAAGAAAAAGAAGAAGCAAAAAGAAGAAAAAGAAGAAGTAGAAGAAGAAAAAGAAAAACAACCACAATAACAAACCTCTCTATGTTTCAAAATCTTCCTTGACTTTCCGATCGCCTGTCGGATGTTTTATTAGATGTTCAGTAGAAATGTGCTTAGAAAATCAAAACCAAAATTCAGCAATTTCAAGAATTCTTATGACATGAAATTATTTAAGGAAAGTCTTTATATTCACTGTTTACTTCTCTAGCTTTGATCATTGCTTCCTTTTTCCTGATGAGTTTTGAATGTCTTCGAGGTGGCAGACAGCAGCAACCCTGGTTCCTGGCATTGATTCAGAACGAGTTGACAGCCAACTACCAGACAGGAAATAAAAGAAAAAAAATAACTATGTTTACGGAAACAAAATTCTGGTTAGCCTAATCTGGGATTGAACTTATTACTGAAGTTATTATTTGTGATTTACTCTGCCACAAGGCTACATGTATTGAGCACTCAATGCATATTGAACTCATATAAAACTTATAATTAGGCAAGAGGGGGAAGTTTACTTTAGAACCAGGTAAAGAAAATATCGTCTCAAATATGAAGGTAATGGCCGAGAAATTTTATTGAATAAAACCATTTCATCTCAAAAATGTTTTAAGATAAAAGCGAAGATACTAGTCCAGAGGTTCCATCGTATAAAATCATTTCATCTCAAGAATGTTTTGATAAAAACAAACAAGATGAAGATATTAGTTCCGAATATTCATCGTATAAAAACATCTCATCTCAAGAATCTTACTTATTATAAAACGCAGATTGTGTATGTGTGTGTGTGTGTGTGTGTGTGTGTGTGTGTGTCTGTAACGTTTATATATTGGATCGGATTTCCTACATTTTTCAACCGATTTCAACAAAACTTCACAGGACTACATAAAATTACCTTGTGGTGGTTCTAACAGCGCCAAAAATGGGAAAAATATAATTGTTTTTGCACAAAATCAATTTGAAAACACGATTAAGAGACATCGTGAAAATGGAAGGGGGGCAACTGACATCGGGTTGTTTGTGTGTGTGGGTTCCTTTAAATATGGGAGCGGATTTCCTATATTTTTCAGCCGATAAAACAAAACTTCACTTTTTTTTTTTTTTTTGGCAGGTAGTGTTTCTTATTGTCTTGCACACTTTTTTTCTTTATTTTTAACATTCAGAATGCTTTAAAAATTCCATTTGCAAGACAATTATTTATAATAAAATTCTATTCAATTTGGAGACTCATAATGATTGAAAACAATGTTCTTGTTTGAGTTTGGGTTTGACCAATTCGTAAAAAATAAAAAAATAAAAACTAATTAAGACATGCGTGTCCGTCAAACTTAAACAATAATCTAACGATCTCTACTGATTGTACGAATACAAACATCGGAATAAATTCTTTATCTTTAGGGAAAGATAATGAAATCTAAACATACACAAGTCCTAACTAAAAATAATAACAGGAACGGGAAACTACTTTAAATACACATGGTGTCCAATTTTTCTACTGTATTCAATAAGTAAAAATCATAAATTGTAAAAGATTATTATTACAGAAAGGCTACTAAATGAATAAGATTTGTTAGATCATAATTAATAAACCCAAATAAAGTTAATATTTTTTGTATTAGAAACAACGAGTGGAAAATATATTCAAATCAGAATTCTAATTATGAATCACCACAAGCAAAATATGCAATTTTTTTTACTGTATTCTATAAGTAAAAATCATAAATTGTAAAACTAAAAGATTAGAGAAAGGCTACCTACATTTTTCAACCGATTTCAACAAAATTTCACTTTTTTTTTTTTTTAGGCATGTAGTGTTTCTTATTGACTTGCACACTTTTTTCTTTATTTTTACATTCAGAATGCTTTAAAAATTCCATTTACAAGACAATTGTTTATAAAATTATTCTATTCAATCGGGAGACTCATAATGATTGAAAACAATGTTTTTGTTTGAGTTTGGGTTTGACCAATTCGTAAAAAAAAAAAACTAATTAAGACATGCGTGTCCGTCAACCTTAAACAGTAATCTTTGTCAATTTTATTTTTCAGTCTTTATGATGGTGGATACTTGATCTATCTCTTACTGTTATATCCCCGGGCAACGCCGGGCGCTACTGCTAGTGTTTTGATAAAAACAAACAAAATGAAGATACTAGTTTCGAAGTTTCATCGTAAAATGTTTTAAGATAAAGGCGAAGATACTAGTACAGAGGTTCCATCGTGTAAAACTATAATTATAAATAATCTCAAGAATGTTTTGATAAAAACAAACAAGATGAAGATACTAGTTTCGAAGTTTCGTCGAATAAAACCATCTCATCTCAAAAATGTATTGATAAAAACAAACAAGATGAAGATACTAGTTCCGAAGTTTCATCGTATAAAACCATCTCATCTCAAAAATGTTTTGATAAAAACAAACAAGATGAAGATACTAGTTCCGAAGTTTCATCGTATAAAACCATCTCATCTCAAAAATGTATTGATAAAAACAAACAAGATGAAGATACTAGTTTCGAAGTTTCATCGCGTAAAACTATCCCATCTCAAAAATGTTTTGATAAAAACAAACAAGATGAAGATACTAGTCCGGAAGTTTCGTCGTATAAAACCATCTCATCTCAAAAATATTTTGACAAAAAAAAAACAAAATGAAGATACTAGTTCTGAAGTTTCGTCGAATAAAACCATCTCATCTCAAAAATGTGTTGATAATATTCATGTTGGGAGCAGGCGAGTTAGACGGTGGCTGCATCGGAAGGGAATCCCGTAATTGCATTAACCTAGGGACCCCAAAAGGTCTCAATCCCGCCTTTTGACCTTGTGTTATATTTACCTTGGTAGTGAAGAAAATAAATCTACCCGTTTTACATCAAGCACCCAGATATAAAAGAAGAGCAATCACTAAAGACAGATGCTCCCGAGTGCGACATGTTAAGCACTATTTTAGATAAATTATTCTTTGAGTATAGCGATCTCATGGGTCCCATGCGAGTTGCGACAACCTCTCCTGCGTACACGGCGCTTTGAACCTCCCAGGGGTGGGCAAAATAGTCACCAGCGTGGTGTTCATAGTTGCCTGTCGCCAAATATTTCGCACGAAATAAAAATAGTTCCTCTTACGCTATTCCAAGGGTAACATAAAAAGAAATGAAAATATCTTGCAATAAGAACAGGACGAAAGAATTATTGCATAAAATTATCTTTTCTTTTCTTTTTATGAGCCATGTCCTTCCCGAAGGTAGACGATCATGGCTCTCCACCTCCCTCTATCCCTCGCAGCTCTCAGCAAATTCTTTCTCTCTGCTTCTTCCCCAAGACCACGTTCTGTCATCCACCTGCTCAGGCCTCGTCAGATATGTCAGTCGCTGATTTCCCTTGTCTCTCTTTCCCTCTATTCGACCCGTGAGTATCAGATTCTCCAGGCCCTCTTTCCTCATTATATGTCCCAGAAACTTCAGCTACCTCTTCCTGGTGTTAAGTATAAGCCTCCTCCTTGTTTGCATCCTCTCTAAGACCTCATCGTTGCTCACACGCTCGGTCCATGATATCCATAGCATCCTTCTGTAGAACGACATTGTCGCCTCAAGTCTTTCTTTATCTTTGAGGAAACCGTTCAAATTTTGCTGACGTAAAGAAGGACACATGTCACGTAACAGCTCAGTATTCTTTTCTTTGTTACCAAAGAAATCCTCTTGTCTCGTAATACCCAGCCCAGCCTTTGGAATGTGTCTTTGGCCATACCCATAACCCTACGGATCTCAGTGTCGCACTTACCGTCAAAACGCTTTCCAGATATTTAAACTTCCGCGTCTACTTGATTGTAGTATTCCCGACATGCAAATCGTATTTCCGGTTCATCCTCTTTTAAAAAAAGAAATTAAAAAGAACAAAGTTTAATGAAACTAGCAACCTGAAATAAAAAATCACTGTTTTACTGTTGAAATAGTTAAATACAATCGCCACCTCTACTCGAAAAGTGTCTTTTCTCGCACTTCCTACCTGTAGAAATACTACAAGCTTCAAAAATTTAAATACAGCCCCAATCGTCATCTCCTGTCTTCTTGAAGCCTCTCCATTTGTGTCCTTTCCTTAACCCCCCTATCCTCAGTCTTCTCTTTCACTTTCACTTCCTGTAACTCCCATATGTACTAGTGGCTTTAAAGCCTTACTTGGGGTATAATGATTAAAAAACACAAAAACAAAATCTCTTTAAATAAATAAAAATACAAACTTTTTTGATAAAAGCAAACAAATAGAGAATGCTAGTTCGAAAAAAATGTTTATCATATAACACCACTATATCTCAAAACCTTTAGCCTGTTCTTACTGCATGATAATCCAAACTTTTGGATTAAATAATTTCCAAGGGATGAATAAGCTGTAAAAAAGCAAATCAGTCACGTATTTTGAAATTATTATAACTGGGATCTTTCATTTTGGTATCATTTCACAAACTATTAAAAGAGGATACTTTTTCACTGTACATGATTTATGAGCTGTGTTCTTGCAGGAGGTTGCGACCATGGCTCTCCACAACTTCCTGTTCCATGCAGTGCTAGGAACAACATTTGATTATTTAAAATTCCTCCTTGCCTTTGCTCTGCTTCCCAATAACACAAATCCATTTGGTAAATTACTCTCTGTTTCCATCTCTTCGTCTTTTCCCAATGCGTCCTGTGCGTATTAAATTTACCAAGCCATCTTTCCTCGTATGTACGAGAAACTTCAACTGTCTCGTTCTGATTTTAAATATGGGTGTCTTTTTAATACCCACAAAACTTCCTCATTGATCACATGTTCTGTCCAAGGTATTCTCAGCATTCTTCTGGAGAACATCATCACAGTCTGTTCGAGTCACTTCTTCATATGTAAATAAATTGTCCAAAATTGCCATATAGCAGAATAGATATGACATAGCAGTTCAGCACTCTTTTCTTAGATTCGAACTATAATTTCCTGTTTCTTAGTACTTTACTTAGATTCTGGAAAGCTTATTCCGCTATTTCGATGCGCCTTCGGATTTCTGTGTCATATTTTCCGTCAATAATTCATTCACCTGATCCTTTGTAATTTTCCCCTCTTAATCTTTAATTTGAAACGCACCTCAATTTTGGAATCTTAAAGACCATCATAGCACTGTTCAATCTGAAGTAATACTTTCAACCAAATAACAGATATTCAGAAGAGCACTTTGACCAAGTTTACACACCTTCAAGAAAATGATTTGTAACTCATTACTGTTCATCTAAAGTCTAGGATCATTAAACATGTAAATTATTCTTTATGAAAGAAAGATCTTTGTAATATACTTGTCTATTAGATAAATAGCCTGACTATCTAATAGCGACTTTCTAGGTAAGCGACTCTCCTCTTCTTCGCCTGCGTCACACCAATTGTCTTAGTATGATACGAACCTTAGTAAGTAATTGCTACTCTGGGGGCCAACTCATATCATCAGGGCGTTGATGAAAACTTTAGAAATCTTTTAATTTTCCGCGCGCAATGCGTCTTTAAATTATCGAATGGCTTTATTTTCGAAATTACTCTTCATCTGTTCTAAAATTATCAGAACTGAAACCTTTAATTTGGGAGCCATTTCCCGAATTTTTAGAAGAGAATTCTCTCAGTTGATGGAGGCTAATAATATCATGTTGACTAAGATAATGGGTGATCTATGGAAGAATTATTTGCCCATATGTATTTCCCTCATCATGGGTATTATTATATCCATACTATAATAGCACCGTATTACACCGACGGGACGAAATGACTGAAAGGAAATGAAATGAGAAGCATGTTTTGTTCTCAGAGAGAGTTTTATACCACAAAATACTTATATACATTTGTCCCACACATAGAAAATATAACACATATCTACACAACAAGCAGAGTGAAGAGGGGTTGGAAAAACAGTCTCACGTGTAATAAATCCCAACGGGAATTCAGTTTACCAGAGATTCTTCTGTATTTCTGGAGAAGCCGGATTTATCTGCTATGTCACTAGCGAGGACATCATATTCCGCAAACAGGGAAACGGCGCGTCTTGGGTTTTTCCCAACATAAGGAGTTGAGTCGGAGTTTCCTTAGTGAGGTGAGGTAAAAAAAAAAAATAAAAACAGCTCGGTTTGATTACTAGAACTGACCATTTTCGTCACTCTATGAAGTGAGATCAATAAGCGACCGTCACATGACCTACGTGACTTTATCTCGACCAAAGGGAGATAATCGCATTTTGTGTATCCACAACCAACTTTGATTTTACTCACACCTATCTTTGAAGTTTGAAACCAAATGAGATATTGTAGATTCCGTAGTATTGTTCAAGTTGAAGAAATTCAGATAAGCCACGTCCACAGGTTCTAAACATCCCCATGACTTTCGTGTTTCATTGGTAAGAAGAAAAATTCTTTTCAGTAAGCTTCTCTAGAGACCTGCTACTTTGTTGAACAGACTCCCAAGGGGATGCTTTCTCGTTCAATATACTATTAGCATATAGGTCAACCGTTATCTCGCCTACATATTTTCATAATTTGCATATACTTCCTCCTCTTACGCCCATACAGCAACCTCACTCAGTAAGCCTCTGGCTTGAGTGGCACAAATTTAGTAAAAAAAAATACAGTGTAACCCGGATATAAGAGACCCGGATATAAGAGAAACCCAGGAGATTTTCTCTGGTCCCAAATTAGAGCCCATACTTACCTAAACAAAATAGACCAAACCCGGATATAAGAGAAACCCGGATATAAGAGAAACCCGGATATAAGATACTTCTTCTCCGGTCCCGACAACTCTCTTATATCCGGGTTACACTGTAATAAAAATGCCAGAATATCAAATGCCGATTTTCTAGGCAAGCACTACTTCTGTTTTAGAATATGAGAGTCACGTGCTCTTTGCTTAGTTGGTTTAGTACTATACTAAGCTTAGAAGATGACTATTATTTCGGGTACATCCTCAGGTTATCAAGGCTCCGATGAGAACTTTACAAACAGTCTAATATAGTCCCTTTGTCTCATGTCTGCTTAGCCTAACGGAAAATCGGAAAGACATCGCGGTCAAATTGAAACTCAAATTGGAAAATGGTACGTGACACTTCATTGTTTATCTGAAGTCTGGAACACGGAATCATGCAACGTATTATTTGCAAAATAAAATCAAAATCTTTATATAAATCAATAAAGATCAGGACATAATATATAGTCGAGTGATAGGTTGTCTATATAACGTAACATGATTGAAATGCATTTTAATAAGAAAAGCCATAATTCCCAGAGCCTCATCATCAGAGATGTTTTGATTACAAATCAACGGGATCCTTTTCAGCCAGGCTACTCGATTTAGGTCCATTCGTGTTTTCTTTAAACACTTATGGAGCCAACCTGTGGTTTATACTGCAACTATACTGTGCAGACCTTAGTTACAGTTTAAGTAGAGGCTTCGCCAGGGTTACATACGGTATTGAATTCATAGCTGTTCTTCTCTTAAACTGGTTGCCAACCAAGGTAGTCTCTGCCCTGCTATTTAACCCATAGCTCGGGAAAAGAGATGAATTCATATGTTTTTCCAAATGAATTTTCACTTAAGCGCATATAACGAACTAAACCGGAATTCTAACTTGGCCTGCCGATTTCGTGTTTCGCGCCATTAACCATTACATAATGAAGTTTCGACCGGAAAAATCTATGTACTTCTTCAGAGAAAAATTATTCTGAAATCTTGCAATCGGTCTCATGCTGGTTTTCGTCTGCACTCTCGCCTGAAGATAAAGAAGAAAAAATCGCAAAACAATAAACAAAATTTGACTTTTTAAAAAATAAACAGATACAGGGCACAGTTTATGTATTGAGGCGTGCGAACATATCACATTGAAACACTGGTTCCCGTAGCTTCACCGAAGTTAAGATACCATTAGTTTAGTCAGTACCGAGATGAGTGACCGCTAAGGAATACCAGGGGCTGTAAGCTTGGATGTGCGGGTGGTGTAATGGATAATGGCTCGGAATTGTTAATCGGAGAGCCGAGTTCTAGTTCTGATTAATTAACCAATAGCTGGTGGGGGTGAAGAGGTGGGTTCATACCTAAACAGAATTTGATAAACAAATAAGAAGAAGCAATAATGTGGATATAAAGTTGGGGGTCAATTCTATATTACAATCAATATATAAACTGACCCCTCACTTTGAGGCAACGGTAGTTTCTATGAATTTACAGACAATGAAAATAAATCTGAAAGACAGAGTGTAGCTAATCAATATTTCATTGATTGATTGATTTATTTTCCATGGATTATCAATCATTTGCCGGATATTTAAAACCATGAAACATTTTTAGATTGTAAGAATTTTTTTTTCAATTTAATTTTTTTTTTTTTTAGATAATAATTGTTTAGTGATAAAAGTTTTACTAATCAACCTATAGCTGGGTAGGAGAACAGGTGGATTTATACCTTTCCCAAGGGAATTTTCGTGTAAATAAATATAACGAATTTAACTGGAATCGGAACTCGGCTCTCTGGTTAAAATTTCGCGCCATTATCCAACCCGCACACCCAAGATTACATCACATTGTATTCCCAAGCTGTTACCCATCTAGGTACTGACCAGGATCGACGTTGCTTAACTTTGGTGATCGAACGGGATGATGTTTCAATGTGATGTGGCCATAAGCCATCAAATGTTTAAGGGCAAATAAATGCTTTTCATCGAATCAACGGTCGTCTGTCATAGGCGCAGGGTGTAAAAACGCGTAGAGGGATGTCCAGGCCCATGGTAAACAAATAAGTATGGAGGAAACCTTAACCTTACTATAAAAAAAGGAAACCTCTAATATTATCTCTAATATGCAACTTGACGGTATCAAGAGATGTTATCTGGTTCTTCTTTTTTGGATGCATAAGTACAATACGGTGGATTAATGGATAGCGGCTCGGATTGAGGAATCGGAGAGCCGAGTTCGAATTCCAGTCGAATCCATCACATTTATGTGTTAATACCCTTGGGAAAGGTATGAATCCACTTTTTCTCTCCCCTCCAGCTATGGGTAAATAGCAAGACAAACCGGGTTCTGTAGCTTTGGATGGTAACTACCGTGGAAAGAAATGGCAACCTACTGCGGGGAAAAATCTGCCTCGTAAGTCATGCATTGAAAAACACATGATCGCCTCAGCGTGTATCACGCATGGCATATAACTGACTGACTGACCCTTGGGAAAGGTATGAATTCTCTTCTTCTCGCCCACCAGCTATGGATAAATAACAGGACAGACCGGTTTCTATAGCCTTGGATGGCAACTGGTCTGCTACAGAAAGAAATGGCAACCTACTGCGGGAAAAAAATCTGACTCGTAAGGCATGTATTGAAAGATATTCGATCGCCTAAGCATGTATCACGCATGGCACATAACTGTCTGACTGACCCTTGGGAAAGGTATGAATCCTTTTCTCCTCCCCCACCACCTATGGGTAAATAGCAGGACAAACTGGATTCTATAGCATTGGATGGCAACTGGTCTACTACAGAAAGAAATGGCAACCTACTGCGGGAAAATCTGCCTCGTAAGTCATGTATCGAAAAATACATGATCATCTAATCACGCATGACAAATGACTGACTGAAGTACAGCACTTTAAATGTCTGGGAAGTGTTTTAACAGAACACGGAAAGTGCAACAATGAAATCAGTATTGGCATTGAGATAGCGAAAGTGGATACAACAAGGATACCAAACGGATACAATACAGAAGTCCATTGAGGATTGTAATGGTAATGGCAATAGGCAAATACGATACCGAAATCTGAAATCATATTGGGTTACCAAAAGATGCCTTCCAAAAGCTAAGCAAAGTATTAAGAAAAAGGAAAATTGTGTTAGAAACGAAGAAAAGAGTACTGAACTGTTATGTAATATCAGTCCTCCTATATAACAGTGAATGCTGGACAATCTCCTCACAGATAAAGAAGAGACTGAATCAAGGGAAAGAAAGAAAAGAGTACTGAACTGTTATGTAATATCAGTCCTCCTATACCGCACTGGATGCTAGACAATCTCCTCACAGATGAAGAAAGTACTCGACGCAACAGAAATGTGGGTCTATAGAAAGATTCTGGGAATATCATGGACGGAATATATGAGCAACGACGAAATTTTAGAGAAAATGAAAAAAAAAAGGACACTTATACTTAGCATCAGAGAGAGAGAGAGAGAGAGAGACAAAGAGAGAGATTTAAAATTTATCGGCAATTAATGAGGAAAGAGGGCTCGGAAAATTTAACACTTACAGGACGTATTGAAGGCAAGAGAGACAGAGGAAAACAGTACATGACGTACCTAACGAACTTGTGTAAATTGATAGCAGAAATGGGTTTAAGAGAGATAGCAAAAAGACAAAATTTACCAATGACAGGAAATTGTGGAGAGCCATGATCGTCAACGTTCTGAAATGACACAGCATATAAGATAAGAACGAGCTTGCTTAAATGAATGACAGAACAGGGTTTAGGAGAGATATTAAAAAGACAAAATTTACTAATACTGAAAACGGGCAATTGTGGAGAGCCATGATCACCAACGTTCTGAAGGGGCGTGGCACACAGAAGAGGAATAATTTTCTTGCAACGTCTTTCTCCACTTTAAAAAATTCATTTACAGACATTTATCGTAACCTCATTTTTTTTCAACTGTCTTACAATGATATCTTGCAATGGCTATAATCGACAACGTGGTGGCAGCCATCAAATGCAAACATTTCTTAAGTACATACATGCGCCTTTTATACAGCTTTTATCAAAACCATTAATGACAATGTTGCTCAGAATACTACTGTAAGTACTCGTATATAATACGCACGAACTCTCCAGAGTATAATACTGAGTTTTCAGATCTTTTTAAAGGATTGTTTAAAAAAATAAATGCTTACTCCGCACGATTGCAGACTGTGCATCAACATTAGATATTATTCTCATGTTAATTTTATACACCTACACATCCATGCTGGCCCAGGGCATGCTGAAAGGGAGCGTTTAAAGATTAGGTTGCCAATTCTTTTTGCGGTAGACTGGTTGCCATCCAAGGCTATAGAACCTACTTATCCTGCTATTCAACCCATAGCTGGAGGGAAAAAAGATAGAGTCATACCTTTCTCAAGAGTATTTTTGCGAAAGAGAATGTAATGAACTCGATTGGAATTCGAACTCAGCTCCCCATTTTCTCGATATCGATTACAGTACAACGCACCAAATCGATACAGGAATAACTCTGTGCTTTTGTCCAACACTGCAAGATGTTACACAACCAAAATATTAACCCGAGAACTCGAGATATCTTCTTAAGTATACCTGGCAGAGCGAGATTCTCATAGCGTCTAAGTTGTTCAAAAATGTTTAAACTGTCATCTATCAAGATATCTATTCTCATATAAATGTTTAAAAATGGCTTCAAATGAATGAATCTTTTGGGCCTTGAAGAAGACAGTACTTCATTAGATCTTTTAGACTGGCGCTACAAAATCACAAAAAAGCTATGTTCGCCTGTTGTTCTCTATTTATACTTGTCTATCTAATTTGCATACGATACTACACCTCCCTGAATCGGAGAGGTCGTATACTCTTGTTTTTTCTTTTACTATTCCTATTCGTAGTGTTGTCCTTCTTCTTGTCTTTCTTGTTTTCTCTTTAATGGTGATCTAGGTCTCTCTTCATTTCTTCTTCATATTCATCTGTCTTTTCATTCCCACTTTCTTCCATTTCCTGCTCTATTCTACTTTTGTAACTTTTTGTCTCGTTCTTGATCTTCCATTTCTCCGTCATCCAAATCGTTTCTGCTTCTGAACTGATCTGCATGTGCCAGTATATGTTGTCCCTTTTTTCTCAAGTATAGCCGTGTTGTGTCCCTTTTTGTATCAAGAAATTTGCTTCTTCTGAATCAGCTTCTTTATTCTTTATAGACCGCACCTTTTCTTGCGTTGAAAAGGACATAGTTATGGGGGCACTGATTTATCTTCCCATTAATGGCAAAGAGCTCAGTTTTCTTCCCGCATGTGGAATGGATCTGTAACTGTAATGTGTTCTGGGTCGTCCAGCGGGTTTAACGATCCTGTCGGCGACGCCACTGTTATGTTTTGCATATCTCTCTGTGTAGTAGCAGTCGTAGTACAGTTCTACGTGTCCTGAGTAGCAAACGGGTTTGCTAGGCATAGCCACCCTATGTTCACCAGTTGTTCTCTATTTATAGTTGTCTATCTAATTTGCATACGATACTACATTACCTTTTTTTAAATAATGTTTAATATAGACATTTGTACACCAATACCTTTAATTACTCTAAACAAGCAGAAAGGAAGGTAGTTACCATAAATAAGAAAAAAAAGAAAGAAAAATTTATTTTTTAAAGCAAGAGAAAATTAAGCTAGCAGTTTCATTTCACTCCAGCAGTGCGTACCACAAAAATCTAATAGAATCTAGATTTTATAGATTATATTTTTATTTGGAACCCATGGATAAGTTCCGAAAATCAAACACTGGTGGAAAAATATTTGTGGACGAGGAAAATTACAGCTATCATAAGAAAAACGCCGATAAAACAAAAACATACTGGCGATGTGTAGAGAGATCTTGCAACACTGTTAATCTATCATTGCATTTTAAACAAAAATAAACTTTTAATATTTTTTTTATTCCTATTTTAAAAATGTATGATTACTACCTATGTTTATTTTTGTTTTCAAAATTTGTGGTAATTGCCTTTAAAAGCTCCAAAAATTATCAGAGGTAAGCAATTATCCAGGGACGCATTTGTCTGTTACCCAATTGTCCGGGACGCAAATGTTCAGCAAATGTCCTAGAGCCCATTCAAGAGAGACAGTTTTTTTTTATGAATCATTATTCATTATAATTCTGCTTGTTTCTCAGTTATTTTTTAGTTATCGCGTATATCACGCCCTGCCATTGTTCGTAGATAAACAAAAGATTCTTCCGGTTTGTTTGCAAGGAAGGACGGAAGAAAAGCTGTATCAAAGGCGCTGATTGGGTTTAGGGAAAGAAAAAGAAAGAGAGAGGGTAGAGGAGGCGATAAGGCTCGCATGTACTTAACGGCTGCTTCAGTGAAATAAAAACCTTGCCATGTTTTAATCTCTTACTCTTTTAAAAATAATAACCTGCATCCTTACGTTTGATAAATATTGCAATTTTAAAAGATGAAATATTTAACAATGCAACAGAAGAATTTTCACTGGTATTTTATATTCGTAGAATTTGCCAGGAGCTAATTTATTCATTAAACTAAGAATTAAAATTCATCGGAAATTCAAAGAGGAAAACCGTAAAATCTTCACGTGTTCTTCATAATCTGAGACCGTAATTGACCAATAATATGTTTGTTTGTCCGTTTAGTAGAATGGATATTAACTAGTCAGGCTGCTAAACAGTATGAATTACGGCAAATGAATATTTTTCATTCAAGTTTCAGCTCATATAATGTTGCACTTTTTCCTAATTGTAACTTCAGTTCCTTGTGGGAAAAATTTACACGATCTGTTTCAGATAACATCTTTCTTACATTCTATAACACCTGCTTATCTTTACAATGTTGGCTGTGCACAATCCATTAAATTGGAAATTAAAGTTATTCTCATGTGGGCAGAAGTTTGCGGATTTATAAATGTAAATAGGTAAATACCTTGGTGTACTTTTATACTCTAGACAATAGAAACATATTGACGGAGCGCATGGGGAGAAGAAAAATTGGTTTTATTATTAAATTTGAGATTGCTTTGCAAATCCCCGTTTAGATAGATAGATAGATAGATAGATAGATAGATAGATAGATAGATATAGATAGATAGATAGATAGATAGATAGATAGATAGATAGATGTTATAAAAGTGTCTTTATTGACGGAAGCCAGTGGTAAGAAGGAAAACATATTTGATATGCAACTTGAATTATCTTATGTCATCTGCATAAATTGGGACGTGTTCGCTCAAAGGTCTACGAAACTATCTTCGGTTCTTTCCTTGCTTATTTATTCGCCACTGACAGGCAGAACTTATCTGTCTGTTCGTCTCAGTATTTTCACCATCCTTACCTAAGTTAGTTGTACATGTGCATCCATGTGTTGGTTCTGTTCATATGTATCGAATTATCTTTTTAATTCTTCGGAAATATTGTCAAAAAGATAGATAAGAATTGGAACCTATCCAATGTATCTGCAAGAAGCGGTGGGTTGAGATAGATAGATAGATAGATAGATAGATAGATAATGGACAGGCTGGGATAGATAGATAGATGGGATAGATAGATAGATAGATAGATAGATAGATAGATAATGGACAGGCTGGGATAGATAGATAGATAGATAGATAGATAGATAGATAGATAGATAGATATTAACAGACTGACATATTAACACGCTGATAGATAGATAGATAGATAGATAGATAGATAGATAGATAGATAGATAGATAGATAGATAATAGATGACATATTAACAGACTGATAGACAGATTAATAGATAGATAGATAGATAGATAGATAGATAGATAGATAGATATGGAAAGGCTGGGATATGTCTGAATCGTCTATATTTGTCATCACTCGCTGGAGTATTAACATAATTTTCTAAGCTATTTTTAGTGTTATATCAAACTTTTAAATTTTTTTTGTTATTTTCTTTATTATGTCATCGTAATTTTATTTTTTTTAGATTATTTCTCCCCGGTATGCGAAAGAAGAGGCGAGAGTAGGACAATAAAAGAACGGGGAATATGAAGACCGTATATAACGATTGACATTGCATTTAAATTTTTGATGATCAAACTTGACTTGAAAGCAAGAAGCCGGAATAAACTTCAACAAGCGAAAAATGCGAAAAATGAAACGGTTAGCATAGAACTTATGGCTACGATAAGACCATATGACCAATCTTGTCTTCTTTTTATACGCCGTGTCCCTTCAGGACGTACGCGATCATGGCCCTCCACTTCCCCCTATCACTTGTAGCTCTCTTTTTCCCTTTCCTACTTCCTCCAGGCTACGTTCTTTCATCAACTTGCTTAAGCCCACCAGGTATATCATGCGTTGCTTTCCCTTGTCTCTCTTTCCCTCTATTCGACCTGTCAGTATCAGATTCTCCAGACCCTCTTTTCTCACTGCGTATCCCAGAAATTTCAACTGCCTCTTCCTGATGTTAAGTATAAGCTTCCTTCTTGTTTGCATAATCTCCAAAATCTCATCGTTGCTCACACGCTCAGTCCATGATATCCTGAACATCCTTCTGTAGAACCATACCTCCGTTGTCTCGAGTCTCTCCTTCATCTTTGAGGAGACCGTCCAACATTCGCTGCCGTAAAGGAGGATAGATGTCACGTAGCAACTCAGTACTCTTTTCTTTGTTACCAAAAAATTCCTCCTGTCTCGTAATGATCTGCATATGTTTTTTTTCATATCAGATTTTCCAGGTCCTCTTTTCTCAATGTGTATCCCAGAAATTTCATCTGCCTCTTCCTGATGTTAAGCATAAGCTTTTTCCTTGTTTTCATCCTCTCCAAAACCTCATCACTGCTCGGTCCATGGTATCCTTAGCATCCTTCTGTAGAATCATATCTCCGCCAGGTATATCATGCTTTGCTTTCCCTTGTCTCTTTTTCCTTCTATTCGACCTGTGAGTATCAGATTCTCCAGGCCCACTTTTCTCACTGTGTCCCAGAAATTTCAGCTGCCTCTTCCTGATGTTAAGTATAAGCTTCATCCTTGTTTGCATCCTCTCCAAAACCTCAATGTTGCTCACACACTCGCTCCATATCGTCAGCATCCTTCTATAGAACCATACCTCCGCCGTCTCGAGTCAGTTCTTCATCTTAGAGGAGACCGTCCAACATTCGGTGCCGTAAAGGAGGACTTATGTCACGTAGCAGCTCAGTACTCTTTTGTAATTGTTCTTCATTAAGTCTATGTACCATAGAGGAAAGTCCTTTAGAACAAATAGAAAATATTCCGTCAAGTATTACGACGGTGTGAAAGTGAATGAAATCTGATAGAGGGCTCGGACGGTTCTAATAACTGCGTACTATTATGAAGTAAGAATGACAACATCAGTAGTGCCAGATATAAACGACCCAAACACAGTTTCAAACTTGGCATTTGTGAATAAAAACAAACTACAGATAACCCTTTACGACATCAGGGAACGATCTGACATTGTATTTATACCATGAACAAGACCCCCACTTTTTAAAATGTTAAAAATCCATATTTTTCGAACCTAACAAATGTCGTGGGCAGGGAAAGATATAATGAAAGCTAATATAGGAAAATATTGTTTAAAAAATATCTTCCTTATTTTGAAGGGGGGGGGCAACTTCAGTTGTGTCTCATTTGGTTAGGTACGTAAATGCAGTAGAAAAAGAGTGAATAAAATTTAAACTTACAGCACTAACGAATTTTCTTGTAGGACAAGCTTGATAACAACCGTATAGTTATTTACAAAGCCTCACCAAATCGTGGAGCGTTAACTGAGTGGAAGCCACACATCAAAGCGACTAACATAAAAGTAAAGCTTGATTTGAATAATTTGTTGGGAATCACCCAAATTTTATAAAATTATATAAATTCATGAGTAATGTCTTGAAATCATCGCTATTAATCACTTCTCGCCTTTCCGACTGTGGGACAATAAATCTCTAGAGCGGAAATCCGTATACCAATTTTGATACGTCATATTTTTTTTTTTTTGCATTTCGAATCGCATTTACACGTTTTAAAAATTAAAACAAACAATGAAAAATGTTTCTTTTTTACTACCATATTAAATTGAAAAAAAATGTCAATTTTAACAAAAATCCTGAAATAATATAACAACTAGCATAATAAAATCAAAACTAAATCTTTTTTTTTCAATGTAATTAGAATAAACACTCCTCATGCTACCCTAAAACAGAGAACAAATGCTTTGGTTCACCGAATAAAAATACATGCTAACCCACCTGTCATAATAAAATCAAAAGCGATGAAATTAGAACTAAAACACTTAATGCCATATAACAACAGAAACAGAAAAAATGTTTTGTTGAAGAAGTCAAAATACAAGTTGTTTTCACATCTGTCGCAATAAAATCAAAAAGCGATCTTTTTCACTGAAATTAGAACTGAACATTTTTCCTGGCACTTAACAATACACAGAGAAGTAATGTTTTGATAAACCGATAAAAATACATGTTGTTTTCACATCTGTCAGAGTAAAAGATTTTTTAAAATTAAAATAAACTAAAAGCCCCTAATGATATATGGCGACAAAAAAAAAAAACACTTTTTAGTTTATCCAATGTTACAATAATATTCTAAGTCAAGTAATTTGAACAAATAAGTGAATGGAAATATTAACAGTCTTTACTGAAATTTCAAGAAGCAGCGTTTTTTTGTAATAAGCTGTCTGAGTGGAATTTACTTCTTACTGGATGTCCTATCAGCTGGAGCATCAGAATACGCCAACTGTATCTCTGTAGAGGGGTTAGACCCCTCCTCCCCAATGGGGCGTCCTATGTGTGACGATAAACTACATCCGGCAGCAAGGCATCTGATCAGGAGGTTTTGAGGAGCGTGGAACCACCTCTTAATTGCTGGTGTTTCCATGACCACCTTAACCCGGGGTGGTAGCATTTGTTAGGGTCCCAACTATGGGCAAATAGGTAATTCCCAAACTTGGGTCAAAACACTATGAAAGTGTAAAAATAGGTTTTGATATCAGCTACCAGGAATAAATCTTTGACTCAAATTATGTGAGCATCACAGATGCAGATATGGAGCTTCCATCGATGAGTTTGGTTTGCATCTCCTGTCGTCGTACTGCCAGCCGATTTCCACGGCATGAAGCAATAAACGATATCATTAGAAGAGGTTTGGATACAGCTGGGTTCCCTTGCCAAATCGAACCCGCAGGCCTCGACCGTGGTGATGGGAAGCGGCCGGATGGCATTACCATTTTCCCTTTTAAAATGAGGAAGTCGTTGATTTGGGATGCGACTTGTGCGGATACATTTTCGGTCGGTAATTTGATCAGGTCCGCGGTTAAGGCGAGATCCGTCGCCCGGGACGCAGAGATACAAAAAAAAAAGTAGTTAAATATTCTTCTCTTGCTGATAGATTTTTTTACTCCTGTGGCAGTGGAGACTTCTAGGGTTATTGATCCTCGTTCGATGGCGTTCCTTCGGAGGATTGACACAATTGCGTCTCGATTAAGGGACGAGCTTTGTGAAACGGAGTGGCTCTTGCAGCGTGTCTCACTGGCGTGTCTCACTGTTCGAAGTAATGGTTTTTCCATCATTGCGGCTGGCAGAGGATAGCAAAAAAATTGTTTATAGTTACTTTGTTCAAACTTGTTTTTCATTAAGTGAATTTCTCATTGTTTTGTCATAAAAAAATTGTTACCAGCAATACATTTTTGGGGAAAATTGTTAGCATTAAATAACCTATTGAGGTTTATATCTCGTAAAACAAAACAATGAAACAAACTTCTTACTGGTGGAATACGAAGGGGATGAGTATGAATCATTCTTGTGTACGTGGCATGGAGGGTCCCAATTTCAAAGGTCAGTGCTCTTGGAAGAAAGGAATGTAGCATATCAGAACACATGCCATGGAAATAGCGATAGATTAGCCAGAGGCTTGCAACATTTCGTCTGTGGGAAAGGAGTTTCACAGTGGGAAATAATTCATCACTCTAAAGACAAATAAGTAAAGAATGGGCAACTTCAGTTCATATATGGTAACAATAGCCCATTTTTGTTTTGATCTTGAGTATAGCAGGGTGTAGTGCAAATCCTTACTGGAGGATGGCAATGAACTGATCATTTTTCCAGAATCTGTAGCAGTAGATTGCATATATGAGTTTCACTTGAAGTTTGAGGTGCACTTCAGCACCAGTAGGCATTCAATACAAGGAGCCTACTTAAGGTAAGGCTTCAAGAACACTAGAAAGCTGTAACACAAGGGGAAGTTGAAAAATCAGGCGTGGCTGACCACATATGACTAGAAAAGGGAGATCCCCTGCTTCTGTGGGATCAGGTTGAGATCATAGACAAAGAACACGACTGGAAAATTCGTAAACTTAAGGAATCAGCATATATGCTAGGCCACAAAAATCTCCTGGGCCGACCAAGCATAGAAATGAATCCAATATGGGAACTAGTAATAAGGAGTGCCAGAGAAAAGCGATAATAACAAAAATGTGCAATATGAGCTCTGGTAAAAACATGTGATGATAACAGCAAAAATTGCAATATGAGCACTGGTAAAAAACGGTTACTGAAGACATTAGGTTTATAATACCCAGAAATTCATACACAGGTGTCCTCAAGGACACATAGCACAGTGGATAAAGGTGTTGGTTAGATCCAGTAACAGGACCCAAAGAGTGTGAGAACTTGGAGAGGGGAATTAACAGGAGATAAATGATAACTGACATCCATTAAATATGGCACGTGCAACTAGAACAGGCTACCCCAGTGAGCGAAATAAACGGTTCAGTTCGACATTCCAACCAACTGAAGAAGACCGGAGCGTACAACGACCGAAACGTTGTAATAAATATGGCGACAAAGATGAGGACAATAGTCCGAATAATGTAAAAAGTGTACCTCATTTTTGTTTTGATCTTGAGTATAGCAGGGGGTGTATCAGGCCCTTACTGGAGTGGGGCAATGAACTGATCATTTTTCCAGAATCTGTAGCGGTAGATCGTATATATGAGTTTCACTTGAGGTTTGAGGTGAGCTTCAGCACCAGTAGACGTTCAATACAAAGAGCCTACTTGAGAGCTCGGAATTGGCGTTGTATTTGTTCCCAGTTATTTTAATACATGCCCAAAAGCTGAAAATTTGTAGCTATGCATCAGTCGAAACAGGGCCTTATATAGATCAAATTACACTTTTTCGACTAGATTTTGTTTGTATATTTGATTTGTTGTTGTGTTGTGGTTGTCTCTTGTGAAACTTTCTCATCTTTTGTGTCAGGATTAGTTAGTGTTGATCTTTTCACCTACGTACCCGTTTCTACTGTTGCAGCCTTTAGCTGTCAATGGCAGCTCTATTATTTTTAACGCTACAAATCCTTAATGCAATTCAATGATTTCACCCTAAATTCTAATCCTCATATCGACCACCAAACACAAAGCAACAAAACAAAAAGAATGTCATTTCTTTAACCTTTAACATTCTGGAGGTGATTTTGTTTACAAAGCAAAAATGTTATCCTCCCACTGCAAGTGACTCACATGAATAAATAATAGAGTGTTTGAATTTTGCAGTTGTGTTGTTATATCCTGCTATGGCAACAGAAAATGGCCATGACTGAAATTAAATAATGCAATAGAAGGTTTGAAAAAAAAAAACAATGTAAAGGGGAATGAATAATGTAAATAAAGGAATATCTTTGCTTATTTTTATTTAAAAGGTTAATGTTGGGTGCAAAGAATGAATATAAAATTTTAAAAAACCATTTTCTGGCTGGGTGAAAAAATTATTCCAATATTTTCTAATATCTCATTTGATAAAAATATTAATTTACAGTGATTATGCAAAAGAAATCAGCGATAATATGACACAAAATATTTATTTTTAAACTCAGAAAACTTGGCAGCAAAGGCAGGCAAAATTAAAATTTAAAAATTAAAAAATGTTTAATTTACAAATATTGATGTTTATTTAACCTTTAACATTCTGGATTGATTTTTTTTTGCAAAGCAAAAATGTTATCCTCCACTGCAAGTGACTCAGATGAATGAATAAAGCATGTTAGAATTTTGCAGTTATGTTGTCAAATCCAAACTATGGCAACAGAAAATTTATAAAATGTATTTGAGATTTTGTCGTAGAAGGTTTGAAAAAAAAACAATGCGGTGTAAAGTTATGAATAATGTAATGCGTTAAAGGTTAAGTATCTTTGTACTTATTTTTATTTTGAAACGTCGGCTTCGCTACAGAATGAACTCGGGGCTCTGGCATTTTTTCATTAAAAAATAAATATGAGAGGGCTAAATTTATCATTAGTAATAGTGCCTGTCTACACAAAAAAAATGTATGTTCCAGGGACTGAACCCGTTACGAAAACAGCGATAAAATGATCAGGCATTTATTTATTATAAAAACGACAGTTTAAGATGGCAGCAAAGGCAGGCAGATAAAAAGATGGGAACTCTGCCAAATATTTAAGAAAGAAGATGTCGAAAAGAAGGCAACGTGTTATTTATTCTTTGCGGTAACGGATATGCAAAGATGTGTGTGTGTATGTGTGCCATGACTGGCTCATCAGAAGCATATAGAATAGTTTTATATGCAAACAAACACAACAGTGGCACATTTATAAAATGTATTTGTTATGTAGGATCAACTATAAATGTGCTAAGAAGATTGGTAATATTTATTTGTCACTGGAAAGTATCTATAATTAAAACTGGCTTTATGATGGCAGGACTCGGGAAATTTCGGCTTCGCTCGGTTGGGTTTTATGATGGTATGATTGGCATTTTGGTTAATTCTGGGTTTTAAATATGGTATGAAGCGGTTTTCATTCAGTAATAGTCACCGTCCCCAAAATCAGATGGTAGGTAGAAATGGGTTAAAAGTAGAAAACTATCAATAATACTGGATTTTATGATGGGCATTAATTGGTTATAGGTGGAATCATATCAATAATACTGGGTTTTATGATGGTATGAAGCGGTTATAGATAACCATCTATAATTAATACTGGGTTTTATGATGGTATGAAGCGGTTATAGATAACCATCTATAATTAATACTTGGTTTTATGATGGTATGAAGCGGTTATAGGTAACTATCTATAATTAATACTGGGTTTTATGATGTGTATTAATGTGTTATGGAGAAAAACTATAATTAATACTGGATTTTATGATAGCTATTAATGGGTTATAGGTAGTAACCCATAAAAATACTACTCTTATGATGGGCATTAATTGGTTATAGAAAAAAACCTATACTTAATACTAGATTTTATATATATTAATGTATTATAGTTAAAGCCTATAATTAATACTCGATTTTATGATCCGTATTAATAGTCTATAGTTAGTAACCTATAAAAATACTAGATTTATAATGGGTACTAATGGGTTATAGCAAGAAATCTATAATTAATAATGGATTTTATTATGTGTATTAATGTGTTATAGGTAAAATCTATAATTAATACTGGATTTTATTATAATTATTAATGGGTTATTGGTAACAACCTATAAAAATAATACATTTGTGATCGGTATTAATGGGTTATAGCGGCAATTCTATAATTAATAATGGATTTTATGATGTGTATTGATGTGTAATAGTTAAAACCTATAATAAACACTGGATTTTATGATAGGTATTAATAAGTTAGAGATAGTTACTTATAAATATACTAGATTTATTATGTGTACTAATAGCAAGAACTCTATAATTAATACTATATTTTATACGTATTAATGTATTATAATAAAACCTGTAATTAATATTGGATTTTATGATAGATATTAATGGGTTATGGGTAGTAACCTATAAAAATACTAGAATTATGATGGATATTAATGTGTTACAGGAAGAAATCTATACTGATATCGGGTATAGAAAAAACCTATAATTAATGGTGAATTTTATGAGAGATATTAATGCGTTATAGGTAGTAACCTATAAAGAGACTAGATTTATGATGGATATAATGGGTTATAGGAAGAAATCTATAATTAATCCTGGACTTTATGATGTGTATTAATGTGTTATACTTATTACTGGATTTTATGATGGCTATGAATAGTTTATAGATACAGACCTTTAATTAATACTGGGTTTTATAAACCTAACTCCGGATTTCCTTTTAATTCTATAATTAATACCAAATTTTTAATTTTAATTTTATAATTTATACCGTATATTACGACAGGTTAAAATTGTTTAAAACTTTATCTTTTTTAAAACAAGTTTAAAAATATAATACAGAATTATTGTTTGTGTTTCTGTGCCATTGTCTACATGCATCAACGTGTATCTGTTTCTGAGTTTGTGTATCTGTTTCTGAGTTTGTGTATCTTTGTGGGTAAATATATGGCAGTGTTTGTGCATCTTTGTGGGTAAATCTGTGGCAGTGTTTGTGCATCTTTGTGGGTAAATCTGTGGCAGTGTGTGTGCATCTTTGTTGGTAAATCTGTGGCAGTGTGTGTGCATCTTTGTGGGTAAATCTATGGCAGTGTTTGTGCATCTTTGTGGGTAAATCTATGGCAGTGTTTGTGCATCTTTGTGGGTAAATCTATGGCAGTGTTTGTGCATCTTTGTGGGTAAATCTATAGCGTTTATGCATCTTTGTGGGCAGTGTTTGTGCATCTTTGTGGGTAAATCTATGACAGTGTTTGTGCATCTTTGTGGGTAAATCTATGACGGTGTTGTTTATTGCATCTTTGCGGGTAAATCTATTGCAGTATTTGTGCATCTTTGCGGGTAAATCTATGGCAGTGTTTGTGCATCTTTGTAGGTAAATCTATGGCAGTGTTTGTGCATCTTTGTGGGTAAATCTGTGGCAGTGTGTGTGCATCTTTGTGGGTAAAACTATGGCAGTGTTTGTGCATCTTCGTGGGTAAATCTATGGCAGCGTTTATGCATCTATGTGGGTAAATCTATGGCAGTGTTTGTGCATCTATGTGGGTAAATCTATAGCAGCGTTTGTGCATCTTCGTGGGTAAATCTATGGCAGCGTTTATGCATCTTTGTGGATAAATCTATAGCAGCGTTTGTGCATCTTTGTGGGTAAATCTATGACAGTGTTTGTGCATCTTTGTGGGTAAATCTATGGCAGTGTTTGTGCATCTTTCTGGGTAAATCTATTGCAGTATTTGTGCATCTTTGCGGGTAAATCTATGGCAGTGTTTATGCATCTTTGTGGGTAAATCTATGGCAGTGTTTGTGCATATACGTGTAGCTGTGTGCGTCTGTGTAGCTGCATGGGTCTTTGTGTGCGCATCCTTGTCAATGTTTATGCTTTTCTGTATTTATCACTGTGAGCCTGCTTCCAGTGTGTATTTTCGCGTTCGTGTGTGTTAGTGTTTCTTGGGTGTGTAACTCTACGTGTGCGTGTTTGTGTGCGTGTTTGTGTGCGTGTTTCCGTTTATACTTACCTTTGTCTGTACGTCTGTACGGATCAGTGCGTCTTGTTGCTTGTGTGAGTATATGTGTATGCTTGTGTTCCTATCTACAACTATCTTTGTCGGTGTGTATCTGTGCACAGTGCATATCTGCGCGTCTCTCCGTTCCGGTATATGTGTGTCTGTTAAGTGTGTCTGCATCGTGATTGAAATAGTTACGTATTTCTCATGAACACCATAGCTCCTAGCCAGAGACCAGGTAAACATTCAGAATTTCAAACGCTGATCTTCTACGTATGTAGGCCTTCCCCCATTTTAATAAATCGCTTGATATTGCCTTCTTTCTTCCAATTCTATGTTTAGATAATAACGAGTGTCCTTCCTTATAAAATATTTACACATTTTTCATTGGCGCCAAAGGTTGGTGTTCGAGAAGAGGTAACATAATTCGGAATTAAAACACAGCTTTTCTAGAAAGGCAAATCGTCTTTACTTGGAAGGCTTCTGTAATTATATCTTCCGTTTTACTCTTTCGGTGACATTCTCACCGCCGTAAGGTTGCCTCTCTGTGTTTTATCTATAAATACTTTCATAGTTATTGTTCCAATGAGTTCTTAGATGTCATACACAGACTTTTTAAAAATTTAAATGCAGTATTGGAATGGCGTCGAGATCTCATCAATTTACAGTTTAACTGGTTTAATGTAACCCTAAACTCTATGCTAACATTTTTTTCTCGCACTTGTATATTGTGGAAATCCCTTTCGTCTCCATGCATTCCAGCCAACTTTAATCTGTAAAAATTTAAATGCAATGTCAATCGCCATCTACTGTCATCCTGATTACTCTTTTCTTTGCGCGCTCATTATTAATGTTTCTGCTCCTGATTCTTCCACGCTCAGTGTCTTAGTGGCTTTGCCGCCTTGCATGGGGTGAAACCGATTAAAAAACAATATTTTACTGTTTTTACATAAAATACAAACTAAAGAGTGATGAGAATAACAGAGGCTGAACATGTGACGAAGGTTTAGAGAAAATAGAAACAAAAAATACATTTATGCTTAGCATTAGAAAGAGACAATTGAAATTTATAGAGCAGTTCAGGAAGAAAATGGGCTTGGAAAATTTGACACTCACAAGACGAATTTATGGATACAGAAAGCAACACATAACCTACCAAAAGAGTTTTTGTAAATGGATGGCAGAACAGGGTTTAGAAGAGATAGCAAAAAGACAAAATTTACTAAGAGCTACAAAGAAGAGGAAATTGTGGAGAGCCATGACCGCCAACACCTTGAAGGAGTATTGTATACAGAAGAATTTACACTAGGAATTTAATCTTGCTATTCGACCAGATTTTCTTCGACCAATTTCTGATTGTAGAGGTTTACTGTATGTCTTCATTTTTTACAATTATGTTTATCCTGCACAAGGCCCAAGAGCCACTCGAGTTAGCAGAATAAGAGGCACAGTTTATAGTGATATGTGAGAATGATAAAGATTAACTCTAAACTTAAATATCTGTTAAGACTGCAGTGAAAAGGGGCAGCATCCTCTTGAGAGTCGGTTCCACAAAGAAATGAATCGTGAGAAGAAGCTACTCGAGTGGAACTTACGTCTCACTATTGGAATATGAATGTAATGAGGATGGTTCGCTACAATGTGCTTGGCATGGCGGGTCTTAGACATGGAGGTTAGAATTGGTGGAACTAAGGAATGTCGTTCGCCTAAACACTTTCCATTGAAATAGTGATACAGAAGCGGGAAACTTGCGACATTTCTGTGGAGAAAGAGGTTGTAGGATGGAAAACAATTCATCACCCACAAGGACGCTTTTGAAATCTATCAAGGCTGGAAAGTGAAGATCTATCACTTGTAAAGGTAGAGGATAGCAAGCGTAAGCTTCTTGCGTAAAAATAAAAACTTAGCGAGTTGTTTTTTTTTTGTTTTTTTTTCGACAAAACTAATTTAATTATTTGGTATATTTTTTCTTTATAAGCGTAATTCTCCTAAATGTCTTGAATGGTATCATCTTTAGCTGTTATTAATCGGGACTTTAGTTTTGGGGCAACATTTGACCACCTGTGATTATTATGATATCAAACGTATGCACACTATGGCAGGTTTTCTTTTTATACATTCGAACGATGTTTAATAGATCTGAAGAATAATATGTAATATATAATTCCGTTTGCCCCACTGTAAGTAAATTAACAGGTACGTTACGCCCTGCTGTTATTTCAGATAAATAATGAACTATTTCTTTTTTAACTGTTAGGAAAAAAACGAAAGGAAAAGATATATCAGAGACGCTGTTTACTTTTAGTGATAAAACAAAAAACGAAATAATAAGATTTAAAGAAGGCATAATAAAATAATAAGCGAAAACAAAAGAAAAAAACGAAAGCATAATAATAATAAAACAAAATCATACATAATAATAAGATTTAAAGAAGGCATATATAATAATAAAAGCGAAAAAAAAATGCATATAATAATAAAACAAAAAATAATAAAAGATTTAAAGAAGGCATACATAATAATAATAAGCGAAAACAAAAGAATGCATAATAATACGATAAAACGAAAGCATACATAATAATAAAACAAAATCATACATAATAATAAGATTTAAAGAAGGCATATATAATAATAATAAGAGAAAACAAAAGAATGCATAATAATACGATAAAACGAAAGCATACATAATAATAAGATTTAAAGAAGACATACATAATAATAATAAGAGAAAAAAAATGCATAATAATACGATAAAACGAAAGCATACATAATAATAAAACAAAATTATACATAATAATAAGATTTAAAGAAGACATACATAATAATAAAGAAAACAAAAGAATGCATAATAATACGATAAAACGAAAGCATAAAATAAAAACAAAATCATACATATAATAAGATTTAAAGAAGGCATATATAATAATAATAAGAGAAAACAAAAGAATGCATAATAATACGATAAAACGAAAGCATAATAATAAATACAAAACAAAAATGCAATAATACGATAAAAAAAAGCATACATAATAATAAAAAAACGAATACATAATAATAAAGAAGGCATACATAATAATAATAAGAAAACAAAAGAATGCATAATAATACGATAAAACGAAAGCATACATAATAATAAAAAACAAAAAATACATAATAATAAATTTAAAGAAGGCATATACATAATAATAAGCGAAACAAAAAGAATGCATAATAATACGATAAAAAAAAGCATACATAATAATAAGATTTAAAGAAGGCATACATAATAATAATAAGAGAAAACAAAAGAATGCATAATAATACGATAAAACGAAAGCATACATAATAATAAAACAAAATCATACATAATAATAAGATTTAAAGAAGGCATACATAATAATAATAAGCGAAAACAAAAGAATGCATAATAATACGATAAAACGAAAGCATACATAATAATAAGATTTAAAGAAGACATACATAATAATAATAAGAGAAAACAAAAGAATGCATAATAATACGATAAAACGAAAGCATACATAATAATAAAACAAAATCATACATAATAATATAAAAAAAGGCATATATAATAATAATAAGAAAACAAAAGAATGCATAATAATACGATAAAACAAAAGCATACATAATAATAAGATTTAAAGAAAGCATACATAATAATAATAAGAGAAAACAAAAGAATGCATAATAATACGATAAAACGAAAGCATATATAATAAAAGATTTAAAAAGGCATACATATAATAATAATAAGATATAATAAAAAGAAATAATACATAATAATAATAAGAAGGCATAAAATAATAATAATAAGCATAAAAAGAATGCATAATAAAACGATAAACAAAAATACATAAAATAAGGCATACATAATAATAATAAGAAAAAACAAAAGAATGCATAATAATACGAGCGAAACGAAAGCATACATAATAATAAGAATAAAGAAGAAGAAGGTATATAATAATAATAAGAGAAAATAAAAGAATGCATAATAATACGATAAAACGATAAAAAACAAAATCATACATAATAATAAGATATAAAGAAGGCATACATAATAACGAAAATAACAAAAGAAAAAGAATAATAATAATAAAACGAAAACAAAAGAAAAAATAATACGAAACAAACATAATAATAATAAATATAAAGAAGACATACATAATAATAATAAGAGAAAACAAAAGAATGCATAATAATACGATAAAACGAAAGCATACATAATAAAAAAAGATATAAAGAAGGCATACATAATAATAATAAGAGAAAAACAAAAGAATGCATAATAATACGATAAAACAAAAATACATACATAATAAAACAAAATCAACATATAAAAGATTTAAAGAAGGCATACATAATAATAATAAGGAAAAAACAAAAGAATGCATAATAATACGATAAAACGAAAAACATAATAATAAGATTTAAAGAAGACATACATAATAATAATAAGAGAAAACAAAAGAATATAATAATACGATAAAACGAAACATACATAATAATAAAACAAAATCATACATAATAATAAGATTTAAAGAAGGCATACATAATAATAATAAGCGAAAACAAAAGAATGCATAATAATACGATAAAACGAAAGCATACATAATAATAAGATTTAAAGAAGACATACATAATAATAAAAAAAACAAAAGCATATAATAATATAAAAATAAAAAAGAATGCAATAATAATAAAAAAAAAGCATACATAATAATAAGATTTAAAGAAAACATACATAATAATAAATAATAATAAGAAAAGCGAAAAAAAGAATGCATAATAATACGATAAAACGAAAGCATACATAATAATAAAACAAAATCATACATAAAATAAGATTTAAAGAACATAATAATAATAAGCGAAAACAAAAGAATGCATAATAATACGATAAAACGAAAGCATACATACATACATAATAATAATAAAGAAGACATACATAATAATAAGAAAAACAAAAAGAATGCATAATAATACGATAAAACGAAAAAAAGCATACATAATAATAAGATATAAAGAAGGCATACATAATAATAATAAGCGAAAAGAAAAAAGAATGCATAATAATACGATAAAAACAAAATCATACATAATAATAAGATATAAAAGATTTAAAGAAGCATACATAATAATAATAAGAGAAAACAAAAAGAATGCATAATAATACGATAAAA